TAAATGTGATGTCAGATAATTTTATTGAAAATCTGTGTCACTTATTTTTATGTTTATCAATTATTATATTCATACATGTCAAAAAAGATCAACTAAATTAGGAATATGACGACGTTGATACAAACAAGACACAAAAGTGTCATATGTTAGAGGAGAAAAATCAAGAGGTGGAGTTGATATTTGATGGTTTGCTTTCACCTAGTTAATATCGAGATTGAATACCAAAGAACACCCATTTCAGAGAATTAAATGCATCTACAAAGATATCTGAAATGCTTTAAAAAGATCTATTGAATTGAAAGATATAAGTATCCGTTTGATGTCAAAGTCAACGTTAAATGGGATAGGTATCATAATCAAGAACTAAAGTGAATGGATTGATTGATTATAACAAAAATAATATACGTGCAATAAAATAGTGTGTACAAAATTTGGCACTGTGCGAATACCTATGATCACATTTTTTAAGAAATAAATGAAAATTTCGAGTCAAGGCAGGTTCAAAAACATCAAAACAGGTTTTCACTAAGAAAATATAATTAATTCCCGAAAACGAAGCTAAAACTATGAACAAACAAACTGTCATTCAGTAATTTTCAGGTATTGTATTTATTAAGAGCTTTAATATCTCAGAATCTACATCATACGCCATTCTGGATCTACACTGTGGAGATATAAACTGTAGTAGCTACGCGGCCGTCAACCTAAGCATTTCGGCCATCATTTCCTCAAACATTTATCTGATGTTATTTGTTACTGTTTTAGATTTGTTTTAACTAATATCTATCTACAGAGATACGTTACCCACCTTCATAAAATATTTAACTAACATAAATCTAATTACTAATAAATTTAAAAAACCACCATAGTGATTGATAGATTTTCCTTCTTCTCTGTCCTTCGGATAAGCGAAAAAGTTCTACTATGGGATGTCATCAGAGCAAAAACGGTTGTGAACGTTTATGAATGGCAATTAGTCAATGTTTAAAAACTATCGATATTTGTTTCTTGAATAGTCACAGGTTGAATATGTACAAAAAAGAGATTTTGTAACGGTTTTGCGCATTTTGGCTTTGAAAATTATTTACTTCAATCAAATATCTGATAATGAATGAAACATTATTATTTTGTAAACAGAATAACATTAAACATGGATGGGCATAGAGATTATGATTTTGTTAGTTTTCTATTGTATTTTTAATAAACAGTAATACGTACTTCTAAAATGGACAAAATCTGTCGACTGACTGAAGTTTTACCGGAAATGTATCTTTTGGCATTTACGTAATCTATTTATCGCTTATTAAATGGCGTTTTATCTTTTCTTATTAAATAATAAACATTTTACATTGAATAGTACTATGTGTATATCACAAGTAACCAAAGATATTACTTTAAAGCTTAAAAGGTTTCATTTCAAACTTCAAGGGAAGGTAACGAGAATTCTATGAACAAATATATCAATAGCTAAGCCTAATTTATTATTTTAGTAATTACGATAGAAACATTTGTATTAATCTACCAACATGAGGTAACTAAGTATTTATATGGAAAATTATTTTGTTTCGCTGGGATGTAAATAGACTTAAATCCGAATGATATCTACATAGAGTATATAGACAATAATTATTGTGACCTTAGGGGTAAATGAAAAAAATCATTTGTTTAAAATTACAAGGCAATTTTTATTGCATGGCGAAACAGCATACCGGAAATCACTAACTCAGTTCTTGAGATCGATATCACATTATCAATTCTTTTTTAAAGAAAGATATTAAAAAAGAGAAAAAAAGAAGATTCAGTTTAAACGAATTTATCACCAATCTGTACACAAATTTACAACTTAGCAATTAAAAATTCACAGCAATAATGATGTTCCCTAATATATATGACAACAGAAATTGTTACCTATAATATTAAAAGCTTTATAGGATCTTTATGATCAAGGTAGAAAACATAAACCTGGAATGGATAAAACTCTAAGAATATATAAGTAAGAGATGTGGAAGTTGAAGTGTTCATGACTTAAATGACTATCAATGGCACTAAGTTGATATTTCAAATCGATTACTAGATAGCAAATGATAATATTAGTATTCATCAGATTCTATCAGCCACATTCATATTGTGAGAATTAAATTAAGTAAATAAGTATCACACCGGACTTCATTTGAAAGTTATGGGTAGGAATTACAGGAGTCAGACAAGGCTGCTTACTCTATCACTTCCTCTTTCTTCTGGTGGTCGACTGGAATATGAAGACCTCCATATCTGAAAGTACAGGATACAATGGACAGCTAGGAATCAATTAGATTTTGGCTTCGCAGATGAACTGTTACTCTATCCCATACACACGAACAAATACAGCCGAAGATAACTAACTTAGCAGCAGCCTCTGCATCAGTAAGCCTCAACACACACAAGCGAAAAAGCAAGATCCTCAAATACAACACGAGAGCATCAAACTGATAAGCATCGTCGATGAACAACGAGTATGTGATGCAGATGCAAATGCACGAATTGACAAGCAGGGACATTATTCCTACAGTTAAAGAACATATCGAACTCAAAACAATTGTCAACCAATATCAAAGTCAGAATCTTCAATACGAACATCAAGATAGTTCTACCGTACGGAGCCGAAACTTGCAGAACTACCACAACCATCATTAAACATGTACAAGTATTTATAAACAATTATCTACTCAAGATACTCAGTGTCCGTTGGCCGGATACCATCAGCAACAGTCTACTGTAGGAGAGAACAAATCAGCTCCCACCAGAAGAGGAGGTTAGGAAAAGATGCTGAAGGTGGATAGGATATACATTACAGAAATCGCCAAAGTGCATCACGAGGCAAATGCTAACTTTGAATCCTGAAGGGAAACGGAAAAGAGAAAGGTCGAAGAACACACTACGTCGGGGATCGGAAACAGACATGAAAATGATGAATAGCAAGTGGAAAGGATTGCTGAGGACAGGGTTAGATGGAAAGTGCTGGTTGGAGGCCTGTGCTCCTCCATGAAGGGTAGCAGACGTAAGTACGTAGAGATTCCTAAACCTAACCTTTGCACCTAAGAGAAACGATGCTACCTCCAAAGTTTCTCCGTTAATGTTGTATTTAGAGACATTATGTGAGTGAATTATGGAGGCGACAAACACTGTGCCAATGTGATGTTTTCTATTTATGCGGATAGATATAAGTATATGTAGCTGGACTAGGAAGTGGGTTGCTTATCAGCAGAAGATTGGAATAAAGAGAAGAGGAAGAAAAACAGAGAGCAATCGGAATAACAATAGGATTAGATGAACAATGGGGTGTGTAACGGAAAACTCAAGGAATATGAGCAAATGATGTATTTAATATGTGATTTTTTATATTTTACGAAGGCACTGTGATTTTACGTACAAAAATAAAGTGCATTGTCGCATTTGAGTCTTCGTTGAAAATCTAAGTAAATTGAAAATAATCACCACTTCAGCTTACATTTATGACAATGAATTAATGGTAATTTTCGAGGTTTTCTTCCTTTACCTACTGATATGCTTAATAACAGATCATTGGATATCGTGACATTTCAATATCGGTGTCCAAATAAGTGTAATTTAAGTTACCTGGCAAATATATTTCAATTACACACATGCTGTGACACAGATGATAATAATAATTAGCCGTTAACCATAAGATTACAATTCATTAATTCAAGCATGTTTTTTGACGGCTGAAGATACGTAGAATTCGAAGAGCTACATTCATTGCAATTACAAACTCGCGGTCAACCAAAGTCAGAAAATTGTTTTAGCCACTTAGAGTATTTATATAAGAATAACAAGTGGTTTTACAATCAGCAATGTTTAAGCTACATCTAAGGTGGTGACCTTAACAACAGTCAACTCTTAGCACTAAAATGATTACTTCGATATAGACAGATAAAAAGTGTATCAACTAATAATGGAACAGTTAATTACCAAATAACTGATGAAAAATTGTATGGCAAAATTGTGGCTACTTATGAGTAACACTATTGTTAAAGACAAATTTCAGCATATTAAACGCGGTTATACATGTGATAAAATATAATTATATTTGAAGGGGTTTTGTGGATATTATAGTAATTTCAATAGTTAAGATCATGAGTCAGTTGAAGTTTGACCACCGTGGAAAACCTGGAAGCACTGGATGGTCGTTTCGTCCTACTGTGGCACTCCCCAGCAATGCGCAGTGCAAGATCTTGAATGCGCAATAGGACGAAACGACCGATTGTGCTTCCAGGTTTTCCATGGTGGTCTAACTTCAACTGACCCATGATCTTAACCATTGAAATATTAATATTTGACTAGACGGATAATGTATCATCTAACAGTAGATTAATCAATATGTGTTAATAAAAAGCGAATGTTCAAATTGATCACTATAACAGCTTGCTAATATTAAGACCTCAAAAAGAACAAAATTACTGAATTCTCTATAGCGTCGTAAACTATTCTAACTGATCCTTAGATGAACAATAGAATCATCTGTTTTTTCATTACTAAATTATGAAGTCACATAATTGTTATCCCACTATTCAACAATAGTTACATGCATTATTTTCGATAAAACTACCGCAGCATTATTATGTATTTCTTGCTATTCATGTACGTGGCTTCCAAACAGAGTTATTCGTCTAATTAACCTTTTTTCAATAACATTATACAACTATATATTGGCTAACATTTTCGCGTTTAATAAGCAATGCTTAAATTTGTGATAAGTATTGTCTGACGAAGTTGTAATACGTTATTACATATGTGGGGCCAGCTGAGATGTGTTATTCTTAGGGCCAGACTTTTCTAACTAAACTTTCCTTCCGTTTTGAGAAAGTAGTACTGCTTCTTGAGGAAAACACCTTATTGCAACCACAACGCTCTCCAACCGATCTTCCTACGATCGTAGAGTTTAAAGAGAAACGAGTGTTCTAAACAGTACAACTCAACCGGCTTATCACATCACATATGTTCTGGAAATGAATGTAACTACGATTGTTTTTCAACAATTTACCGACTAGTAACTAAAAGATGAGTACCAATTCGAATTAAAGAGATTGATTAAATGTTCACATTCTAACTTCAAGTGTGGAAGAAGTCTGACTCGACATCTTTCCTTGAATAATCAAAGAGGTATCAGTGATTAGAATACTTTATTTTACGTGTAATAATGTGATGAATATATGATACTTAGTCTTAATAAACGAAAAACAAATTTAACGTAATAAAAAACTGAAACAATCTATTTTGTTACAAGGATGTGATTGAAAGGGAAAGGAAAAGAAAAAAAAACTCAACGAAACAACAAGGAATCAAATAATGTTCTGTTAGGTTCATTTTTTTTCAATTTGTCCTTTCACATTTTGTTCATTCAATAAACAGTTATCATTGTCAATATCATCATCGGTTTTTGCACAATGACCATCTTCACTTTCAAACAAGTCATCAGCTTCACGAAGTTTACGATATGTATAGGAATCTGCTTTAGTTCTAGCCATAGTCCAATGTTTAGCGAATGCATACTGATAATATGGAATATAGTAGGGTAATCGTGGTAAATCACAAAATTTCACCTATTCAGAGAACAACACAAAAGTCGTTTTTTTTTAAAAAAAAAAAAGACAATGAGACAAAATCAATTCGAATATGTATACACGAAAGTGAAATGAATAGTATACTGTCAAGAAATTGTAGTTTCAAAACTATAAGTGAAGTCAGAAGTGATATTTTTAGAAACCAGATAAATTTAAACTTAAAAAAGAGTCTGATGAAAGTGTGTAATTGATCGAGTTATGATAAAGCTTACAAAGTCAGATACGAACAATTGAGACAGGTGGTAGTCACTATTCTTAATGTATAGATATAGAATTTTGCAAGTAGCATATACCACTGCTTCCGTTTGGGCACCCGGGCAGTATCACAGCCCTCACACAAATCAAATGAGATTTGTGTGGCGCATATGTATCTGGTGCCCCATTGTACCAATATTTATGTGTTCAAATAAATATAAAATAAATAAGTAGCATATACAAGATAATGTATGCGATCTGGAATATGCAGCTTTTCAATGAAGATCCACGTGATAATGAATAAATATGTATTTTGTATCACGAATAACTATCTAAAGAATAAATGCGAATGTCAATCTGTGGGCTGATACAATTGGGGTCTGATATTGATGCCTATTTATTGTATGCTGTAAAATATAGTTAGTAAACCTGTTTCAGAAGATTAAATCTATTCTCTATTCTTAATTTTTTGTAATATAAAGTGGGATTAGCCGAAGAAAAATCAGTAAATCTAATGGGAGTGAATAAGTGTAATCACACATGCTTACATTGTAAACGATTGTCTATCCTTAGTATATATTGAAGAAAAACTAGATTACTAATAGATAGGTGCTTCATTTGCTTAAGAAATACATCTCATTTTTACGTATGTTTTGTTTGGTAATGTTTCATTGAGGTTCGACATTATCTAACAACCCTCAATATTACCAAATTGAAGGAGCAATGTTTCTTTTAACTGAGATAAAAATTAATGGCGATAATCCTAATGTGTTTCTTCTTAACAAAATCTTGAGAATAAATGTTAAAACACAAAAGGAGAAAAAAAAACACGTACCGTCATAAAATCAAAAGTTGCGGCCACATTCGGCTTAAATTCATCTATCGGTGGTACACGTCCATATCGTTGACTAAAATGATTCAATAGAATGAACGAAGCATTCATATCACGTCCAACTTGAATAGCTTGACTTGTTGTGCTTTAATATAACGAGTAATCAGAAACAAAAAAATCAAGCAGATTGAGGCGTTTATTACTAGATATTGGGATAGAAAAATCATTGTCATAGGTTAGTTTGCCAACAACCTAACTATTTTTGTTGATGGAAAATGTTGAATAGCTTGTATGAATGTCTAAAATGCACAATTCTTTGTTGGGTTAAAAGCGTAACATTTAATGAATATCGGTTGATGATAAATATCTGTTCATAATGTTTGTACGGTGTCCAATTCTAATAAGTGATAAACATGTTTTCTGTTAGAAAGGCCGACCAGCTATCTGGGTTATTAGCCAGCCGAATCAATAAATAAATCACACCTTGGTGTGGGGCTTATCGTATAGTTGACATCTGACTGGCCTACTGTATCAGTTCATAAATTGACATGTGAATTAACGTTATATCGTTGGATCAACCGTTACAAATTCATGTTTATTAATCACCAAGTTATCTAACTCTAATGAGCGTAAGTTACAAAAACATTATAAGGGTATACGATTATGCTAATAAAATAAGACGTAACAATATAACGGCTATATAACAGATATCAATACACTCATGCTTGGTAACATATTTTTAACCAATCTATAAGAAATGAAAATGCGGATATGGAATATAAATATCTAAAGAATACATTTCATTGAAATATTTAATCTGTTATATAAATTTTTAACAAATTCATGGTGTTATTTTGTTTACAATATTCCAATAGTAAAATAAATAACAACTCTAGAGTTGATTAATACACCTTGTGTGTAGAAATAATTGATCTGGAAATGTCTAAATACATGAACTGCTACCTTAAGAGTTTTACTGTATTTTGCAAGAAAATCGGATAAGATATCTAAAAAAGTATCTTCATGGCTTTAAATGTCCTAGGTTAAAACAAAACACAAGTTTTTATGAAAGTTGAAAAATGGCTTATAGCGAAATCCAGGTGTCGCGCTTCATCTAGTTTGGGACTGGATAGCTGGATGTATCCGCATTCGAGCTGTCCATACTGGGACTCTGCTATGTTCGAGGGATTAAGACATCGCCTACGACCGGCGAAAGGAACGAAAGTCAGCAACACAAAAAACAGGATAAGCTAAGCTATGTGCTTCAGTCCTGCTAAGTAGAGGAACAAGACCAGATTCAGCCAGGAAAATATATAATTCCACAAGCAACCAGGAAGAGCAAACAACAAACACACAACTTATGCGTATATATACAGTACAGAAATGTCCTCGGAAAACTTCACAAGGTAAAGTACTAAAAGAGAAGACGAACCAATATCACTTGAGGTCCTTCCATGTGGGAAGCACAAACTGAAGTTAAAAATGGGCGGTTTTGGTGCGAAAATGAGAAATCCAAGTTTCAGTAATTAAATTACAAAAATGGGAAGTTTATCAAGTGATTTCTGGGGATTTAGCATCTCAAATAGACTCGAACTGAGTACCTTTAATTACAAACACCAATGCATTATCCTTTGAGCTATCAAGTCTAAAAGTCACTAACTTTATGAATTATTCAAGACAGAACGAGAAAAATCCTATATTTAGGTAGGAATGACAAAATGATTATACAGAATATTACAGAAGTGAACATTAAAATACGTACCTGTGTTTTGCTTTAAGTGCTAAATCTACATATTCATCATTTACAGTGGCTTCGTGTATGAGTAAATCACAATTTTTTCCTGCTTTCACAAGTTCAGGACATGAAGGAGTATCACCAGAATACACAATAGACCATTTTCGTTGTGTTTCAGAACAATTTTCGGCAATATTCTTACTGTTTATCAAATTTTTGAATGGATAAGGTTTATCAATAATAAACGCCCATGATGAACGTGTGTGTGGAACCTTGACCGGTCGAATCTAAATGACAAAAAATAGATTTAAACATATTTCCATGAATTACATTTCTGCAGTTAAATGTACAACTCAGGAATTATTCAGTACAATCATTTATAAATCTGTCAATTTCAAATAGACCAAAAGGAGAACATATATATTCGATAGTGCTATACAACACAAGTATAAAAAATAGATTAGACTGTAATGTAACCTATTTACTACGAATAGATTTGTGTACTTGGAGTCATACTATTGTTGTGATAAGTGTTAATGATACAATCTCGTTTCATAAAATGAAGTACGTGAGGTGAGATTGGAACCTGAAACTTATGAGTTGATAACCGATTAGTTCAACTATTAAGCTATTGCACTGATTGTACTGTATAATTAATAAAACAGGAGAGGAAAAGCGAGTTTCTTAATCATGAGTATTATCAAACTGTGGTATATGCTACTTATGTAACACTAATCAAAATATGAATGGCTGGCAGCAAATGTTAAGAATATCGAGTTCAAGAGAATAGAAGGGGAAATAGAAAGAAATCGTGAACTGGAAGAAAATAAGGAATGTGAAAAAAAAATGATGGAAATTTGCAAATGAAGTATTTAGTGTATGGTTCTCATACTTTACCAAGATATTCTGTAATTTTGTAATAAAATATATGGGTTGTCCCCACCTGTGTTTTCGTTCATTACAATACTTGTTGTGAATACATACATTGCTAGTGTATATATATGAATACTTATTCCTTTAGACTAGACCCATTAGAATGCAAATATTAATCTAATAAAAAAGGCTGTGACTGGATCATTTAACCTTTAATCACTTGGTTCCAGATTCGAATCGACCTTGTTAAACTCCAACAAAAAACACCAACAATTGCATTAATTGTAGCTTGAAGCAGATCATTATGAGTGATCGTATTAGGAAAAAATTAACAACTCACATAAATAATAAGACTACAAGAAGCGGATACGTAAGTTTATATTAACATAAATGTTTGATACATTCTTAATTTCAATACAGAAGACAAAATTACCAGACAAAAATCATATAGTAATAATCATAGTGATAATAATAATTTAACCATAAAAGTAGAGTGAGGTTATATGCATTCAAGAAACGACAGAAATATGGTAAAGTATGTCATAGTAAAATTACTCTGATAAAAGTATAGTATAGGGATGAGTCGATCAGGATAGAGAACGAGACTTTCTCGTTCTTGCGCAAACTTTAAATATCGCATATAACGGAACGGTAGGAATACCTTTTTATACTGATTAAAACGTTCCAGTTAATCGACTGAGTTTCAGTAGATTACTTATAAAAGGTGGGTCGACATTATCCCTGAGTCTTCACCCCCCCCCCACAAAAAGCGTTTATTTTGAAAACTATTTATCAGCATAACATTGTGTAAACTAACTAATCGGGTATTGTCTTTTGGGGTTTTGCGAGAAATTTGTTTATCTATAGGGCTACAGAGCATTGATGCATTATAGCAAATATCAGTTTGTGATAAAAACCCTAATTCTAAACACCTTATTTTCATATTAAAAATCTATTTCGGTCATTTTAAGGTTTTGAGGAGATGGTCAATCTATAAACATAAAAACGCATTCACAGCCAGAGTAACCCGTAGAAGACATTGATCGATTTGTCAGTTATTTAAAATCTATCTATAGTCTGAGTATTGGCTAAGATTTTGTCTCAGTTTTTTAAGCTCATTCGTATACTCTCGCTAATTACTCTCCCTTTTGTTTTCATGACAGTGTTTATACAGTTCTTTGTAATAAGTGTAATGGTAAGAGCAAAGATAATATTCTAATCAAATTAAAGCAGTAACATTTGATAAACAACAATTTAGATGCAGACAATAATGATAGTAATTTTTTCAACTACTACTGTATTAAAATAATCCAGTCCCAACTTACAATAAGTTAAATGATAAACACAGTGATATTTTTATTTATTTATTTATCTATTTATTTAGACATATTGGTACAAGGAGGCACCGAATACATATGCTCCACACTTCGTCATTCGATTTATGTGAGGGCTTGGATTCTGCCTGAGCGCCCAAACTGAAGCAGGTAAACACTGTGATACATAATGTTAAAGCAATAGGAATAAGGGAAATAAGAAAACGGTTCGACTCATTGATTACAAGGTATTTAGAAAAACAGAATAGATTTCTGAAAAAAATAGACAAGAAATTTCATATGGAGTACATAAAATTTCTTGTTCTAGTTGGTATGTCTAATTCAGGTGTCCCGGGTAGATCTACATTTGAATCACGAATGGAAGACGAAGAGCGAAAGGTCCATATTCAAGGTTAGTTTAGCTACAGAAAAAAAGATTTGTGTTATTCGAAATCGTGATATTCTAGAAACTTTTAAAAACATTGAAATTGGCAAGTATCCAATCACAATAAGATATAGAATTTACTGTTTTTCCGGGAATTTCTAGGAAGATTCTATGGAACGATGATTGGATAAAGTATTTTTAGCCACTATCCATTTTCCGCAGATTTTTCCGAGGAATGTTCAAGTAGGTCCTGGCACTAATATTAATTATTGATTTTTTATTTGGTTTCTTCAAATAAAGCATTTTTGATAAATTTATTTTAATTAATTTGCATTTAATTTGAAACATCTCATTTTTTAATCATACCTTGATGCATGTAAACGACTTAGATATCTCACAAATTCAGATTTGTAAAACACAATACTTATGTTGTCAATGACCGCACTATAGACAAAGCTTTTGTTGAGATTTCGGATTATATGTATGACTCAATTATCTAACATTAATCTATAAAGGGATTTTAGCACTCGCTAACAAAGATGAGTAAACTGTATGCATTGTTGACTTGGGTAGAATCACAATATGTATAAAAGTATGGATATGTATCTCAAAGCATGTTCAACTGAAACTTTAGAAGAACTGACTATTCTAAGCCCTAAGTAAGTTAGTTTAAACACTAGTTACGTTATTCTATTATAACTGTTCAGGGTTTATTGTCAACACAGAGTAATTTATAAAAATCGAACAGGACTATCGGAAACTATTGTGATATAGATATTATTAAGACAGGGATTTGTGCTTTTATCCTTGACGATACTCATGACTGAATTTGACCAGGTATTTATTGGCACATAAGCTGCTCGAATAAGTATGCATCGATATTGGTAGAAATTATAAATTTCATTGTATTTTTCTGTATTCTGCTTAGTAATTGAATCCAAGAAGGGAATTTTATCTTATTTGATATGTACTTGTGCAACAACTTGTGAATTATAATAAAAACTGTATTTACTGATTAGTTTAGTAACTATTCCAATTTATTACCTTAGTTAACAACACGTTGGTGTTTGAAGTGGTAAGTACTGGGTTCAAGTATATCTGTAAACAGAAACATAGACATTTGGGCACATTTAAGTGACGAGCTTCATCATATAGGTCAGAGATGTTCATATACTATTGGATTCCCCTGATAGCCACTATTTAAAAATATTTAAATTCTATCAAATTCTGCCATTTAATACTTATTTATACTATCTATACTTATTTATAATATTTTCCCCACGAGTAGAAATTAATTTGATGAGTGCCATTTCATTATTATAATATACGTTGTCTGGCTATAACAACTGTCCGCATTTATTAGTCAGCTTGCCTATATTGCTAAAAGGGTTGGTTTGAAAGCAGAGTAACAGAATTAATCAGTTATAATGTAGGCATTTTCAGCCTAATTTTAAGTAATATATTACACCAGGACGATTTTCTATCTAATACTCCTGTCTGAAAGGGGTTTAGGGGACGATTAGAAAAATATAACACAAAAATTCAGCTCAAGTAATAGATTTTTAATTCAAGGCAATTCTACAAAATCCAGTAAATTTGTAAATGTGTGTATGATTGATTGCATTGTAGATGTCCATCAAAGTATGTGGTTATTCTACAAAGTCAAACAGACCAACAGTATCAAATCATTTTCCCTTTAATACAATACTTTCACAAAATTTACAACCTTCCTGAGCAGGTGTATAACATATATTTTCCTAAGCAACTACACTGTATAATCATCGTCACTTAGCATCGCATAAACACAATGAAATACTTCATACAAACAACAACAGAGTATAAAAATACAAGTTATCTTAGATAGTGATGCTTAGTAGGATTAAATGCATAATTAATATACGTATGTATTTCATAAAATAGACCTGTAACAAAACAATAAGTTGGTAAATGTTGGTGTTCTCCGATTAACATAAGATAATAACGCAAATAAGACATACATTTAACTAAGATGGAACTATTAACACTTAATGACAAAAAAGGGATAAAATTTACTTACATTAATATCAAGCTGCTCTAATAATTTTAACCAATTTTCTGTTACATTTCGTTTCATGTTTAATGAGCATGAAGGATTTGAATTCTTATCATGTTCATCGTAAAGGATTTGTATGATGAATGGATCAACAATTTGGTCATAATGGAAAAGTTCATTAAAATTAATTAACCAATGATAGAATCCTGATGGAGCAAGGACAGGTAATAAACAATTGGATTGGTCAATACCATCTGATTTAAGTAGATTGGAACGAACTAGAGCTATTGTGAAGACACCCTTGAAAAACGGTATAAAAATATTTTTGTAGAGAAGAAACAAATATACTGTGCCAATAGAATAAGGTCCTTTTCCATAACTTACTTGACTATCTGAACTTAGACGACTGAAAATCAAGAATCACTAGACAGCTATTTCATTTTAGTATGAGACTCCTTAATAGCGAGTTTATACGGCCCAACTTGCTAGAGGAACCTATAAGATCCAGGCTAGCCCCTAACCTATTGAACTACAGAGTTAGTACTCAGTGGTTTATATTTACGGTGGAAGGTTCTGGCTACCATGAAGATCTATTTTCATAACGTATTTAAATAATTCGAAGAAATAATAAGAAAAAAAATGGGATAGATATTTCGATCTAGTTCGGAATACTAAACAGGTGTGAACCATTAATTTATTCAGGGACATTTACCTTCTACTACTACTGACTGTTAAATTGATATTTAATGGTCAGTTAATCTTCAGTTAGCCTAATTGATAGAGCGTTTCTGAAACTGTATACCAGTGCATGAAGTTACTGACTGTTGGACTGAACTATGTAGGTAAATTAAGACTACATGGTTGGGGTCCTCACGATTATTATAATTAAATGCTACAAACATGAAAACTAACACCAAAATTAATATGATCTAGACATTGGATGACTGTCCATTCCATTGAAGCTCCTGTTTATTTAGTATTATTTCGAACAATTTACTTAACACAAGTCATATGGAATTATTTACTATATTATCGGTATATAGTAAGGACGATATAGGAATGGTGTACAGATTAACAATATGTAGTAGTGTAGATTTTTATTCACAATGAGGTAGCTAAGGAAGATCTATCTTGTTTCCATTACTTGTTTTTTTTTACTGACTCATATATCCAATACAGATTCGTGTACTTGGTTATTAGTTGTAGTTAGTTAGTGGAGAAAGATTCGATTAGAAGTTAAAACATAGATTGGGCACTTACCGTAGTGTTTTTAATGCAAAAAAGATGCAATGCATCTCAATAGTTTAAAAACTGAACATCCAACCACAGAATAACGATTTCGCAATACATCTTTAGTTTTTTTATAACGTCAGTAATACTCGAAGCATCATGTAAAACCATGTACTTAATTATAAAGTTGCATGAACCACATATAACATAGAGAAATTACTAATGTGTTTTATAGTTGTTAATTATTTATTGGTAATTGGCTCAAATTTGTTTACGATGATGCAGAAGTATCCTATCTGTATCTTCTCTTAGGTCTTGAGTTTTGAAATTACCTAATACTTTTAATTCTGTGAATTTATTCCTTTTTTCTAGAATTATACTATCTATTCGTAATGTCTTCTACTTCCAATGATAGTTTTACTACTTCTATGTTGTGGGAGCTTAAACCGACGCATTTATGTGTCGCATTCTACGTTGATTATGACTGACTGGCTGAATAAATTGGTAGAACTTATGTACTGCAAAACATTTTTACAATCATATGAAGGTATTTTTGCTTACAACATAAAACAAGTGTAACCACACTGGATATATATAATGAATTGAAATAAGAGAATAAAAAAACAGAATTATACATCTGAAAACTCACACCATGATGATCAGCGTGCATATGAGTAACAAGAATTAATCGAAGTTTGCGCAAAATATTATTTCCTTTTTCGACACCATGTAGTGCATATAGTTGACTTAGAGAACCTTCTCCACAGTCCAACATTATATAGTTATCTGGACTAAAATGGCATGCAAAAAATTCGTTGAGAAATAGTGTAACAGATAAAAAGCAAAAAATACATTCACGAATAATGTGTAATATGTAATGTGTGAAATAAGCCCCCAAATGCCCTGGTATGGCCGAGAGTGGGGAGAGTCAGCTCTCCCTCTCGAAATGCTCTCACATGGCCACGCGTATATAGCCTCTATCAAGGAAGTCCTACTTACTGCTTTCTCGCACCACGGGTGTTGTTTACGAAATTGAGAGGACGAAGAGCGAATTTCCGGCGCTTTAACCGGATCCCGAATCAATGGTGCACATGGGGTCCAGTATCCTACGGGAACAAATGGCGTATGAACCAGTCGTTGGTCACTGGCTACCATGGGACTGCATCTCCTTACGATGCTCCACTGCCTTGTGGGTCAGACGTTCAGGTCGAAGGCTCGGGGTGTGGCCCCCTAAGAAAATCACCTGCTTCGGTTTGGGCACCCGGGCAGTATCACAGCCTTCACACAAATCAATTGAGATTCGTGTGGCGCATATGTATTTGGTGCCTCCGTATACCAATACCTATGTGTTAAAATAAATATGAAATAAAGTGAGTATTTACGAATAATTACATTGAAACAAATGATAAACAAAGAGTCTTGTGTATAAACTTAAAATTATGACAGAACGCATCATTCACTTTTAATAAACAAAGAACAAAGTGTAAAAGCTGTTAAATTAACTGATTCTAGTAGTTTTCCTAATTGAAAATCTGTTAATTTTTGAGTTGTCCAATTTGGAATAAGTGGTGTTTGAACACGTGACCAAGTATGTGATTTCTAACAGCTAAATTCTCCTCTAATAAAACTGGGAAAAATCAGTGGTAGTGAGTTCCCTCTTGGACAGTAACATGTTGGTTAAGACATGCCTTTCAACTGTTGTCATCGACGGTTTGGAAAGACGGGCAGTAAAACTAGGTCTTACACAAAATTTTGCATAACGAATGAATGATTTATCTTAACACGTAATTACACTTTAAATATAGAAGAATGAAGAATAACTGGATAAATAAGCGTTTCAACCGGAAATGAATGTTCAAAGCGAAAATCACACTCATGTAAGCTTTCATTTAGATAAGAAGAGATAGTATTATGAAAGTTGGATATCGAATTCACAAAAAAATATCAAAGAGGAAATTAGGTCTCTAAAAATGTCAGTGATTAAAATTCAAAATAACTTCAACATCAAACTGCCGATCAAAACACTAAATTCATTTAGAACTTCAAAACATCACTTTAAAGAAACCGTATAGTTTTTTTAAAATTAACCAAATGACTTAAAACGTAATCATAGAGATGATGATATTAGTTTTCAGGGACAACGAATAACTTTGCTCATAGCAATTAGTCATAGAGTCACCGGTCAAAAATTTAATTTATAAACTATTATTCATTAAAAACTATTTTACAAATCTATGAAGATACATTCTACATTATTTATAATTGACTGTAATCGAAAAAAATCCTTGAAAATAAAATCTTCAATACGAACATCAAAACAGTTCGATTATACAGAGCTGAAACGTGGAGAACCACTACAACCATCATCAAATAGTACGAGTATTTATAAACAATTGTCTACACAAAATACTCAATGTCCATTGGCTGGATACCATCAGCAACAATTTACTGAAGAAAACAAACCAGCTTCCAGCTGAAGAGAAAGTCAGGAAAAGACGATGGAAGTGGATAGGACATATATTACAGATATCAATAAACTGCATCACGAGGCAAGAGCTAACTTGGAATCTTGAAGGGAAACGGAAAAGAGAAAGACCAACGAACACACCCAGTCGAGGATTGGAAGCTAACATCAAAAGAATGAACAGAAATTGGAAATAACTGGAAAGAATTGCCCAGGAAAGATCTCAATGAAGAATCCTATCGGGCGGCTTATGCTCCTCCATGAAGGGTAACAAGCGTAAGTAGTCGAAATCAAGATGTTGCATTCGATAAATCTATCAATGATACTTGACATTTCTAAAACAAAAAAGCATGCAGAACTATTTACAACTATCTTATTTATCGGGATATATACAACCACATAGATAGGTGAAACATTAACTTGCAGTCTGAAACTCATAAAAGTGAACAAGAAACATATTTGTAGGATTTAGTTCAGCTTACAATATACATTAATAAAAAGTCAATTACATTATACAAATGAAAGTCAATTCATAATTGAAATAACAAAAAAGAGTTTAAAACTAACTCTAGTTGCATAAGAATACAACTGATATTACGATATTTATTAGGAGAGGAAGATGCAGTGCCAAGAAATGTGATTTCAGGATACGCCTCTGATGCTAATCTATGAGCTAAATAATATGCATTAAAAGAATTCTATATTAACACTTGTAAAATGTGTAAATTAATATTGTCAAAAATTAGCAAAGCAAGTTCCTTTCAGCCATCCAAAATCTGAAGTACAGGTTGATAAAGATATATTCACAACAGGATGAATTCTATGAGAGTATATTAGAAAGAGTATCCAAAAAGGGAAATTTAACCACGGAATATACAGACTGATTTTAGTTAGACAGCTACTGAAAATTCAGAAGCACTAGACATCTGCTTCGCCTCAGTATGGGGCTCCACAGTTGTATGCAACCATGACCATACCAGGAATCGAATTCAATATATTTTGATCTCAGAACAAGCGCCTAAACTTTAGACCACTGGATGTTATTCCAGTAGTGTAAACATGTAACCTAAATCAGTACGCGTTATTGAGTGAGTGTCTTTCGAAACTCGGCTAGATCTCAGGTGAAGTCGTGAATGCGTACGACTGTCTAGTGCTTCCTGGTTTTCCATAAATATCTGATATCAGCACGTGATACAAACTATGAAACTCAACAATCTCCACAAGCCACCTGTGGTAATAACAAAGAATTTAAGTTGAATAGTTTTTTTGGCTATTGGAACATTAGAATTCAAAGCAATGCTTTTCATATTGAATGATAAAATTGTTTTCCTGCTCGAATAGTTCTGTATTGCATACCCAGATTTATTTTTATAAATAATCTTATTTCTAATCTAGTACAAACTTGATGAATAAAGTCGGACTCACTTAGAAAGGCAAAGGTCGCTTATTTTAAATGATATGCAAATGTAATCTTTCCTACTAAAAAACACCACATTTAATGTTATCAACGGTACTAAATTGATCATCTGAAATTGTTAAAATGTCAGGGTTTTGTTTCTGTACAGCTATCAACTGCAACATGCTGGCATTCGTACAACAAACAGCTAAATAAACTTGATATAGAATAAATGGAATGTGGCTAGCAGTAAAATCCAGGACGCGCATTTCATTCTATTTGAGACTGGTCAGCTGAATGTACCTTCATCACAGAGTTAATGTTCACTTCAGAACTGGAACTCAGTAGCGTTTGGGATCATCTTATTTATTTTATTCGAACACATAAATATTGGTACAGGGGGGCACCAAATATATATGCGCCACACAAAACAATGAGAATTTAAGAAGGGGAAAAAAAAAGTAAGGAACGTAGGGGATTATAAAATAAAAAAAAGAACAATAATGGGGGGAGACGAAAAGGTACACTCAGAAGAAGTCTTACATTTAAGGAGGATACAGCCATATCTGATAACGTCTCTAGCCACTGTGTTACACCATCTCTCGGCCCCCAAATGCCCTGGTATGGCCGAGAGTGGGGAGAGTCAGCTCTCCCTCTCGAAATGCTCTCACATGGCCACGCGTATATAGCCTCTATCAAGGAAGTCCTACTTACTGCTTTCTCGCACCACGGGTGTTGTTTACGAAATTGAGAGGACGAAGAGCGAATTTCCGGCGCTTTAACCGGATCCCGAATCAATGGTGCACATGGGGTCCAGTATCCTACGGGAACAAATGGCGTATGAAACAGTCGTTGGTCACTGGCTACCATGAGACTGCATCTCCTTACGATGCTCCACTGCCTTGTGGGTTAGACCTTTAGGTCAAAGGCTCGGGGTGTGGCCCCCTAAGCAAACCACCTGCTTCGGTTTGGGCACCCGGGCAGTATCACAGCCCACACACAAATAAAATGAAAATGATGATCTTCTCTGAAAACTCTGTTCACGCTGAGATTTATCGTCAAACAATTAACATTATTATTATTATTATTATTATTATTATTATTATTATTATTATTATTTACCACGTCGTTTATTCACTCCCTTTTATTCCTACTCTATCTATCCTTATTTTTCGACTTAAACAGCAGCTCGCCCATGGTGGACATTCGGCTATATCTAAACGTTGGGATCATCTAAACCATTTTAAATTAAGGTAAATAAACTGTTTATGATCTCATTAGTCAGAGATATTTAAAAGAAAATGACTGAAATCTTTACCACTCCTCTAAAACTCGTACTCATCGTAAACTTATTATAGTCAACTATATTCTCTTCTTTTGTTAATTCTCTTATTCTTTTCTTTTCATGAACCGATCAATTCTAATGCTTGATTTAGAATTGATATCATTGTAAAATTAACATTAGATGGAACATAAATCAACCGACACTTATTAAACATACAATACATAATCAAAACTTATTATAGTGTTTAAATGTTTCAATAAAAAGAAGCATTTGCAGAACATTGTACTGATTAGAAAATTCACCTGGTGGTTTGTTGGATTCAATGGATTCTCTCATTTTAACAAATTGTTCTTCTGCTTCTTGTAAACTCATATAAACCGGATCAAAAATTTGTGACACAAATTCATCACCATTTAAATGTGGATAAGTAGGTCTAAATTATCAAGAAAATGAAAGTTTACAAAAGTTGAATATGTCGTACTATATTATTATTGTTTTTTCGAAGAATAAATAACTCGTGCCAGGATATGATGTTAATTTTGACAGAAATCAGGAAAAAAAATACCATTCAGGTTACATGCGGAAATAAAATACTGAATCCTAAATTACCGCTTTAATCGTACAAAATGTACAATGATAAAAGCAACTAAAATATAGTAAGCTATAATCAATGTAGCAAATGAAACAAATTAACACTGACCCAAATTGCCACAACACATTAGCATAGTGAAAAATTAACGAGATTGATAAATAGAGCCCGAACTAAAGCATTATTGTTGGTAGTGAAAAAAAGCAAATATAGAGAATTAAAAAAAAACAGGAATGACTTCACGGGATAAAAGTATGACAAAATGTTGAGACTAATGATCAATAAGGAAATAAACAGTGAATCTATCTGTACCACTATAATTGATTTTGAGTAGAGTTGTTGTGTTTTGGGGATTTGATTTGACCTACGGTAATTGCGAATTACGAATCATCGATATTATTTCTAATACGAACAGAATCTAAAGCGAGCTTAATTTCACAGTAAATGATACACAACACTAATGATAAACCTTAACGACGGAACTGAGAAAGTAGGCAGCAGGGAACAAGAAAACTTGACATTTGACGAAGACAAATTGAAATGGAACAACTCTCTACACACAGTAACCGAAAATGACGTTGATACAGAAAAATTTGGAAACTAAAAGTAGTGACAATCAATAAGAAAATAGCAATAGAAATACGAGTTTCAAATACTGTACTCTCAGTTATAATTACAAAAAAAGAACACTTATCGACATAACCAGATAATCGGGAGCTTTCTTTGAAGTTACCTAAGGTCTTCAACCACTGGAAATGATTATGGGAGTCACTTCAGATAATGTATCTCTTGCATCTATTAGCATGACTCAGTTTAGTAGACACTGATTCCGCGGACTGGTGTCATATCTTAATCTGCATGTCTAGTATTTTTCCAAACTACTCTTACTTAATGCAACATTCTATATCGAGGTAATTCGTAGTTAGATATATGTAACATGTATCACAGCTGCCTCAATTAATCAAGATTCATAACCTTATTAACAGATTTGTTATACTTGCCTAGTAGCTCTACGTCTGATCTCAGTATTAATTACTCGGCTGCCCCATCATACGTGAGTAATGCTCTAAGGAAACCTGTGATCAAATACTTGCAGCTTACGTTTATCTCCTACATTCAAAGGTCTCGTTTCACGGCAGTATAGTAACTTGAAGGACTGTTGCGCAGTATACTTACTCCTCGGTTGTTAGATGGATACTTCGTTTACACCACAGGTGATTTGAGTTCGCAAAAATTAAATGAGCTTTTTAAATCTATGCCAGGACATGTCTACAGACTAACCATGTAGGAGTGAGACTTCTAAAATGATAATTATCGGCGTGCTCAACTAACTCACTTCATATAGTCAGACAAGGTGTTGATGTAGAACAGTCCTGAAGTTAAATTTCGCACTTAGAGTGAGAGGAACTTATACCAAACTTTCTCGGACTTTCTGTTGGGGATCCTCAGAAATCACTTGGTAAACGTCTCATTTTGTAATTTTATTTTGGAAATCTGAATTTCTCGTTTACACGCCAACAGCACCCACTTTTAACTCAGTTTGTATTTCCCACTTAAAGGAACCACTAGTTCGTTTCTTCTTTCAGCACGCTATTTAGTGACGTTTTTCAAGGACACTTTTGTATTATATATATATATATGTATATATATATATATATATATATACTCATAAGTTATGCGCTTGTTCGTTCGATCTTCTGACTGCTTGTAGACTATACATATCCCTCGGCTGAATCTGGTCTTTTCCCTCTAGTAAGTAGGGCTGGGGAATAGTGGAATAGCTTAGCTTATCCTGTTGTGTTGGTGACTTTCATTCCTTTCGCCGGTTTAAATGATACCGTAATCTCTTCAAAGGTAGCACTTTCACTCAAGGTATTCAGAAAACTCAACAATTAACCGGAATCTGTATAAATAGCGATATTTGAGTAATTATTAATAAAAATTCGAATCGGGTTACAACATTAAAAATTCCGTTGTTTTTTCGAAATTTCGTAAGACATGAAATACAGCGGTAAATCTTACTTGTTAAATCCTGTCCATGGTCTTAAGGAAAACTGTAAATAAGGTTCAGCAACTACAACGGAAGAGAAAGGATCAATATTCTTTGATATTGTTTCGTTCCGTTTCTGATTGGATGATAAAATAAAGAGAAATTTTACAATGTGTGGTGGGGAGAAATATAAACAAATTAATCAAGATAACGTAATAACGTTGGAAGTAATCAAATGCTTACTAAGAATATGTTATAAAATTTTTAACGTTGTAACAGATAACAGTGATATAAATATGCGTTTTGCTGAGTGAATGCCTTTTAACCTGTTGTAATCAGTGTGGAGTTTGGAGTAGATATGCATTTACTCAAGTTGCCATAGCACATTAGCACTACGATATGGCACTAACATGATGAATGGTGCACATGGGCTCTCAATGGTAATCAATGGTGCACATGGGGTCCAGTATCCTACGGGAACAAATGGCGTATGAAACAGTCGTTGGTCACTGGCTACCATGGGACTGCATCTCCTTACGATGCTCCACTGCCTTGTGGGCTAGACCTTTAGGTCAAAGGCTCGGGGTGTGGCCCCCTAAGCAAACCACCTGCTTCGGTTTGGGCACCCGGGCAGTATCACATCCCACACACAAATAAAATGAAAATGATTATTATTATTATTATTATTATTATTATTATTTACCACGTCGTTTATTCACTCCCTTTTATTCCTACTCTATCTATCCTTATTTTTCGACTTATACAGCAGCTCGCCTATGGTGGACATTCGGTTATATCTAAAAGTTCTCGAGTCACTGCCTGGTTGAAAATTGTATGTTACCACCGAATACGAGTACTGAAGCAGTTTTTCTGAAACCACGTGCACCATTCAAACTGGCTGCCTTCAACGTTCGCACACTTATGCAGGTCGGACAACAGATAGGGCTAGCTATGTTTTTGGAAAGTCTTAATATTGATGTTTGTTGTCTATCCGAGACCCGTATTCAAGACTCTGGTGAAGTACTACAAATTCGCTCTCCATCTGTCGCTTCAAAAAGCTTGTTTTATGTGCGTTTATCCGGGGACCCTGTGGCATCTTCGTCTGGTCTTGCTGGCGTTGGTGTCGCACTAAGCGCAAGAGCTGAGGCAGCACTAGTCGACTGGGACCCCATTAACAGTCGGTTATGTGCTGTTAGATTAGAAAGTTCCAGCAAAGTGAGAAGAAATCGGCGTGAGAAACTATGTCTTTTCGTCATCTCCGCCTATGCCCCGACAGATTGCAGCCCGGATGCAATCAAGGACGAGTTCTACCACCAGCTAACTGTTCTTCTCCAGAAAGTGCGTTCGACAGATATTGTAGTACTAGCTGGAGACTTGAATGCTCAGGTCGGGCGTCTAGGCACAGAAGAGAGTCGTTTAGGTGGCCGATGGGGACTCGTTGGTCGCAGGACAGATAACGGGGAACGTCTACTGCAACTATGCACAGATCACAACCTGTTTCTGGCTAGCACTAACTTTCAGCACTATCATCGCCGATGTGCCACCTGGCGTCCCCCTTCTGCATCTCAAGTCTGGGCTCAGATTGATCACATCGCGATCAGCTACCGCTGGCGCGGATGTGTACAAGACTGCCGCTCCTTGTGGAGTACCTATCTGGAATCTGATCATGCTCTGGTCTGCGCCAATCTTACCTTACTTTTCAGTGGACAACAAAGTGACCGCCACCAAAGGATTGATGTTAGCAAGCTGGCTGCAACTTCTGTTGCTAGTAAGTACCGAACCGAGCTAGCTTCTAGGCTAGCTACCACTCCACCGAAAAGTATAGATGAGCATTGGTTGCAATTGCATGACGCCATGAAAATGGCGGGTCAAGTCAGTTGTGGGTTTGCGAAACGTCCCGCTTACAAGCACTGGGTTTCTTCTGGTTCCTTACAACTGATTGAAGCCCGTCGGTCTACTCCGGGTGACCGTGAGTTTGACCACAGACGAAGGATGTTACGTAATGAAATCGGGCAAAGCTTGCGTAAGGTCCGAGAAGCCTGGTGGTCGGAGCGTGCCAGTGAGTTGGAAGCAGCAGCTGCATCTGGTAATTACCGGAAGCTCTTCCAACTCATCCGAGCCACTGGCAGCAAGAAGTTTGGTGTGAGCGAAACAATCTGCGAGGATGACGGAACGCCAATCACTAACATCCATAGACGTCTTGGACGATGGGCAGAATTTTTCCAAGGGCAGTTCAATTGGCCTGCTGCTCCAGCAACATCGATCAGACTGTCCTACCCTCCATGGCCGGTGACGACTGATCCACCAAATGAGGCGGAAGTCCGCAAGGAACTCCAACTCTTGAAACGTTACAAATCACCGGGCCCAGATGACTTACCTCCGGTTCTTTTCAAAGATGGTGGCGACTTTCTGACTAAGGGACTGACGACGTTGTTTGCAAAGGTCTGGGAACTAGAGAGTGTACCAACGTCATGGAATGAGTCGATAGTTGTAACTATCTTTAAAAAGGATTCACGTCGTTCCTGTAACAACTATCGGGGGATAAGTCTACTTCCGATTGCGTCCAAGCTATTGGCTTCCGTCATACTTCGTAGGTTGTTCAAAACCCGAGAAGGATTGACTCGCGAGGAGCAGGCTGGGTTTCGTTCTGGTCGAGGTTGTATTGATCATATCTTCACCCTCCGCCAAGTGTTAGAACACCGCCATACTTATCAAAGGCCAACAATCGTAGTGTTTCTTGATATCAGTGCTGCCTTCGATTCGTTGGACAGAACTGTTCTCTGGGATTGTCTATTGAAGAAGGGTGTGCCTGAGAAGTTTATTAACATCCTAAAAGCCCTATACACAAACACCTCAGGCAGAGTGAGGGCATACAACCACCTATCTCCATTGTTCCATTCGAGCGGTGGAGTTAGGCAGGGTTGCCCAATCTCACCATTCCTCTTCAACTTTGCCATCGATGACATTCTGGAAACAGCTCTGATGGATGTAAGTAATGGTGGTGTGGATCTGTTGCCTGGAGAAAGACTTCTCGACCTTGAGTATGCGGATGATATTGTCTTACTGTGCGAGAATGCCCAAGCTATGCAATCCGCACTTAGTCAGTTGGCAATCAGTGTCCGTAGGTATGGTATGTGCTTTGCAGCTTCGAAGTGCAAAGTACTTCTACAAGACTGGCAGGATTCTAATCCTGTACTCACTCTGGATGGTGAGCAGATTGAAGTAGTCGAGATGTTCGTGTATCTAGGTAGCTGCATAAGTGCTGATGGGGGCGTGAGTGATGAGACCAATGCACGTATAGTGAAAGCCAGAGCGGCTTATGCCAATCTGGGCCATCTTTGGCGCTTTCGTGATGTTAGTCTGGCTGTAAAAGGTCGGATCTACAATGCGCCGGTGAGAGCAGTTCTGCTCTATGCTTGTGAAACCTGGCCTCTCCGAGTTGAGAATGTTAGACGACTTTTTGTGTTCCATCATCGCTGTCTCCGAAGGATTGCTAACATCCAGTGGCAACACCATGTTAGTAATGCAGAGGTTCGGCATCGTGTATTCGGGCACAGAGACGATAATGCAATTGGTGTCACCATCTTGAAACATCGACTTCGGTGGCTTGGACATGTTCTACGAATGTCATCCCAAAGAATTCCTCGTCATGCATTATTTGCCGATGCTATAACTGATTGGAAAAAGCGGAGAGTTTGTGGTATGAAAGAAAGCTGCAAAGGGCTAGCCTCTGTTGGTCCTTCACGACTCCCTGGCTGGAGTCCGAGAGATGGTGCAACACAGTGGCTAGAGACGTTATCAGATATGGCTCAGAATAGAAGCCAGTGGCGATCCTGCTGTAACCTTTTTTTACTTTCTTCGTAAAGAGTGGTTGCTTCTTCCTTAACTGAAAGATTTCTCCTGATTGTACCTTTTCGTTTCTCCCATTATTACTACCATTACACTACCTTACACTAATCTGGTCGTTGTTGTTTTTTTTCCTTCTCTTTAAATTCCTCATTTTTTTATGTGGCGCATATATATTTGGTGCCCCTTGTACCAATATTTATGTGTCCAAACAAATAATTAAGATGAATGGTAAAGGAATCAAAACAACTGTAGTAAGGATGGTAAGAAAGACTGAAAATTGAGAATATGATTCAAAATGACAATGAGAAGCTAATAAAGAATATTGAAACCTACTCGACTTCTGTAGAAATATCATAAAGGCAAGAAAATCTATGATTGAAGAGGTTCACTTGTAACTCTTAGCATGAAAAGAGTCCATGTCAAACAAAAATGTACGGTGAACAAGTGTTTACAAGAAATTCAGAGTGATAGTCACACACAAAATCGCCAGAATAAAGCCTGAAATTTCGAGATTTTCTAGTGACTGAATTACTACACCTTGCATAATCCTCAGGCATACAGGGTCCATCGACTACAAGATATTTAGTTACTTCACGTAACCTACAATTAGGTTTTAGTTACTTTAACTTAAGAGAAAAATTGACCCGGTAAAAATATGAATACAAGGGAATATAGTAGAGCGAAAAACGATTGATCAAATGGGCAACGTTATGTGGTTTTATATATACACGAATACGAATAAGTTGTATGGTTTACTTACAGAAACAGTAACAGAATCTGACATATCGAAAAGCAGTGGGTAGACCTTTGAGTCGAAAAATCGATTCAGGATGAACGTTTGAGAATACATACCAACACGATCAGTTACAAAACCAGTGCCATCAAGAACCAAGTGTTTCAGTGTTGTAGTCGGATCCTTTGTATCGGATTTTCGCAATACACACTCTTCCAACCTAAATGTATTAAAAAGAATGAAAATCCTTTAAATTAATTGCCACTTTTTTGGAACAAACAAAAGCGTTTGAGCACTACTCATAGTTAGATCAAATATACGCCCAAACTAATTATCATAGCAGCAACACATAGACAGCGAAATAAGAGTGCTAGTAAAGCTTCGGTTAGATCTTTTGAAGGATTTATGAACCACCCCCAAATGCCCTGGTACGTTCGAGAGTGGGGAGAGTCCGCTCTCCCTCTCAAAATACTCTCACATGGCCACGCATATATAGCCTCTGTCAGGGAAGTCCTACTCACTGCCTTCTCGCACCACGGGTGTTGTTTACGAAATTGAGAGGACGAAGAGCGAATGTCCGGCGCTTTAACCGGGTTGGTGAACATGGAGAGTCCACCTAGGGGAGTTAGAAAACCCTGATTCCAAACTAATGGTGCACATAGGCTACAGTATCCTGAGGGAACAAATGGTGTATGAACCAATTGTTGGTCACTGGCTACCATGGGACTGCATCTCCTTACGATGCTTTACTGCCTTGTGGATCAGACCTTTAGGTCAAAGGCTCAGGGTGTAGCCCCCTAAGACAACCACCTGCTTCGGTTTGGGCACCCGGGTAGTATCACAGCCCTCACACAAATCAAATGAGATTTGTGTGGCGCATATGTATTCTGTGCCTCCTTGTACCAATATCTGTGTTCAAATAATAATTTTTTTTCCTAATTAGCATGTTCCGACAACTAAGTAATGATGAGAAGAAGAATCAGCAATAGCTTTAAGCTAACGTATGAAAAGGAGAAAGTAGACGGTAATAATTAGGATAAAAATTAGGAGTCCTTAAAGCAAATAGAATTATATCGATGTATGATTTTAATCGCCTACATGGTTTAACTAAGTTAAGAAGTATTCAGCCACATAGTGAGTGATAAAACAACAAAATGTTATCAACAATCTTTAGGCAAATGACATCCACTGAAATACTGTTAATTATTAAATGCTAGTTTAAATTCCAGCTTCGCTTGCAACAAATACCCTTTGCTGTCGCTTTTTCTAGTTATGAGAGGAAATTCAGTTAGGAAGTTTTTTGATTATGCACAGCATAATTTAACTAAATTTTGAAACAGATGGTGGAATTTCCAACCGTTACGCAACTCCTGTGGTTCACAACGTTTGATTCGTTATAACAGATGTGATTAGTCATTAAAGAGGAAGAATGTATTTGAAGTAAATTCTTTCGCTGAGATTTTATAAATACATTTTCCCTCTTTAATGTCTCACATTAACTCGGCGCCCAAATATTGTGAAACTATTTGTTCAAATTTAGACGAAAATTCTTGTTTAATGTTTAATATAAGTATTTACATTAGTGTGTAAGAGACATGTGGTGTGAAACGAAGTGTTAAGATAACAGATTGCCTGTATACGTAAGTGAAGTGAGAAATTTCATTCAACTATAAATTGTCTTCGGTCGGTGAATATTAAGAAAACATATCATTTTATATATGATATGAATCAAAAATGTCACAGCATGCATTAAATGAAGATAAATAAACGAGACAAAAGACTGCATACAAAGAGGAATGTATTTGTAATTGAAAGTTTGTGTTATTTTAATGTTCTAGTCAATTATTTAACATATTCAGATAAGATGACTGATTTGAACCGTTGAATGTATTATCTATTGATTAGTTAATATGATATTGATAGACAGAATGTGATTAGTAGTTACAAGTTATGGGTTTACATCGTAATTGTGCAAATTTTCACTTGCGTTGCCCATGAAAGGTTTACTTTACAATGCGCCCACGATTTTCATAGAATTTGTTATCATAACCAGTGAGGGAGAGTTTTTACTTACTTCTGTACAAATTTCTGATACTGGTTTGAATAGAACATGCCTGGTGGTGTAAAATGAACGACTAGGGATACACCAGAGGTTAGATTTCCACTAGACTCCTCGGCCTGAATAGAATTGAAAAAGTGATCATTGGATATAAATGCAGGAATGTAATCAGAATTCGGACAGTCGATGAAAAGCATATTTTTTGATGGTGGTGATGGCACAGTTACTTCATCCGGAGATATCTAGATATGAAATAAAAAAAGACTAAAATATATAGCATTAGAAATAAATAGTGAGAATTCGATTGATGTATATATTTATCTTGCCTTTTTTACAATAGCCATTCATTTAGTCACTTAAAGGAATAAAGGATTTCTACTGTGAATAGACAATTTTTGTCATCACAAACACTGACTACTACCCGTGGACATTTGAAATAATTAGCATATGACTTTAACAACTAATACTTGCTTTGCCCCCGAACTCCCTGGTACGGTCGAGGGTGGGGAGTCATCTTTCCCTCTCGAAATGCTCTCACACGGACACACGTATACAGCCACTATCAGGGAAGTTCTACTCACTGCCTTTTCGTGACAGGGGGTGTTGTTTACGTAATTGAGAGGACAAAAAGCGGATGCTCGACGCTTAAACTTGGTTGGTGGGTCCTCAAGATCCACGTAGCGGATTCGGAACGCCTTGATTCCAAACTAATGATCACATGGGCTCCAGGATCCTGAGTGAACAAATGGCGTATGAATCAATTGTTGTTCACTGGCTACCATGTGACTGAATCACCTCATGGATTAGACCTCTAGGTCAAAGGATCAGGGAGTGTCCCCCTAAGAAAATCACCTGCTTCAGTTTGGGCGTCCTCACACAAATCGAATGAAGAAGTGTGGCACATATATATTTCGTTCCAATCTTTATGTGTTTAAATAAATAGATAAATAATACTTCCAATAGGTACTTCAATTCGCTAGATATTATAAATGATGGGAACAATTATCGAACAGTTGAACTATTTCAGTTGATGTTGATTTACAGCTCTAAATACTTCAAATTTGATAAGAAAGTCTGTTGACTGCACATCAATACTTGATTACTTCATATCTTTACAGTCTGTTGAAATATTAATGCTATTTTTGTATGTAATGTATTTCAACAGATTCTGTAATGAAAGATTAAAAAGTGGGGGTTAATTACTGGATATTACAAGTGGTGTAAAATAATATTTATATATTTCTGTAACGAACGCACTAGAGTTCTATATATTTGGCTTTGAGCCACGTTATTTATGAGGAGTGATGATGCGAACCAATGACCAAAACCAAAGTACATGGAGTAGTGTTTGAAGATGGAACTTACTGATGAAGTGATCTGACTATTAATCTACCGCTTTATTACCATCTATATGTCTGGCTAACAGATTAATATTTATTACTCAATTTGCTATACCAACAAGCTACGTGTCTGATTTATGCTTAGAGTAAATTTAATTATAAATCACAAGAGTCTGAAAAAATTTACTCACTATACGTCCATCACTTAAAATTAAATTTTCTCCATTTATAACAGCTTGTATTTCCCCGGATTTCAGAACAGATCTGTGAAATGAAAGGTTGGAAATAAGTCGAAATTGAAAATATGAACAAACCAAATATCTCTCGCAAAAAGTGAGTAGCGAAAGGTAAAGTAGTTGCAAGAAAACTTTAGTATACTTAAGTAAATCAGACGCGTACACATCAAAGAAATATAAACTAATGAAGTATTGCACATAAAGCAATAAAAGTGAGTGATTTGATGGTAAGCGCAGATCCTTATCCTTGCAAAGTGTTCAATTTTAGGTTCCCATAATGATGATGAATCAGTTAGTTCCGAATGTCTATTTTGTTGCTATTATTTTCCAAACTATAAAATTTAGATGACTTGTCATTCATTTATTAGAGATTACTTTAAATATAAAAATTTTGATTTAGATAAACACTCAAAATATTTGCTATTCTCCTTAATATTATTAGGATTTCGGTTTATTTTAAAAATGAATAACGTTTGTCAAGCAATGACCAACTAAGAAAGCGATACCACATTCGTACCGCAACAAAAAGGACTATGTGACCAGCTTGTAAATGCTGATTGTAATTTAAGAATTTGCACTGAAAATTTATTGTGGGTAAGGATGATGAAAAAATGTCAGTTGTGTGAAGCAATACCATAGAAAGTAAAGAAATTTGACTTAAACATCAGGAATTATCTTCTATATTCGCCAATTCTTATTTAATGCTACTGTGCAGCATGATATATAAAGAGGATTAGAGTGAGCGACTTTTCAAATGGTCCACTGAAAAAGACGTCAGGTTATTGAAAAGTATGATGATTTTGACAAATTTACTTATGAAATCCTAGCGCAAAAACGGCGACCATTGATCGATACTACCTGGATTCAGTAAAAGAAACGATCTGCTTTTTGGAATGGCACTATGATAAAGGATAAATTTGTTTGGTTCGTATCTACTGGGACATCACAACTCTTTAGATCAGGTTCCATAAATTAGATAATTCAACTTTTCGAAGCAATATCTTGGATTCGAAAATAGCTGCAATTTCTGTATAGATAGTAAAATTCACTTTAAAATAACTTTAGAAAATATTTTACGTTATCACCAACCCATAGCAAAAGTATGACGGTTACTAATGAAAGTCATCATTTATGATAACATTTATTTTTCACAATAATTTACAGTTAAATTACTCTGAAATGCATAAATATTTATCTCCATCTCCTCAGAATAAACTATCTCGAACTCGGAGATTAAGGTGTAAGATATTTGTCTCCAACTAGACTATCAAGAAAATTACGACAGTCCTGCTAGGCATGAAGACTGAGTAGTAAGATTTTATTGAATTTCAACAGATTAATTATGAGTAGCCAGCAGAAAGTTGACCTGTCGGATTTTTCGCGTTATTTTGTCATACAGTATATTATTATTATTATTTATTTTAACACATAGGTATTGGTACAAGGAGGCATCAAATACATATGCGCCACACGAATCTCAATTGATTTGTGTGAGGGCTGTGATACTGCTCGGGTGCCCAAACCGAAGCAGGTTTTGTCATACAGTGATAGGTTTTAAAAAAACTTCAAATGTAAGCTTTAAAAGTTCATATTGGCAGTCATTTCCCAATGTGTTTATTATAATTTGGCATCTCATAAACCGTATGAACTGAAGGGTTACTTATGATTAACGATGTAAATTTTATACCAATTACGACTTAGTGTGTTTGTTTTTAAGTCACACTTTGTGTGAAGCCCAGTGATACAAACCGTCTGTTCGAACCTCAGTAGTTAGAGTGGGATCACAAACTGCGTGACCTAATAATGATGTAAGTCATTTGTCTACTAAAGATTGGTGTACTCATGTTTGGACACAGGTGAGAGGGATAGTGATACTACCTACCTGTCCAGATCAAAGTAGGTGGAGCGAAACTCAAACCCGCAAATTAATGGTTGAGAGTAGAGCACCAAAACTATTAAGGTACAGACGTACGGGTTATTACTAATATGTAGTAAACAATAAGTTTGTACCAACTCATTCAATATTTGAAAAATGTATCTCATAAAAAAAATTGGGATTAGGAAGACGTGGTAGTATTAGATTTAAAAGGCTACTACTGACTTACACTGGTATACATGCTTCATTGAATTTTGACATGATCAACTTACGACGTGTACGAAATGGCTAATGAACAGCGATAAAACAGAAAAGGAATTAAAATATAATTACTGTAATTGGATATGAATGGAAATTTGTTATGAAATATGAAATAGTTGAGAGTGATAATAGTAGAATTCCACTTAATTTGAACTTTTAAATATTAGAGTAATGTGAAGGTAGTTCTTTTTTACTACGAAAGGATATCAACTAAATTTCCGCTTTTAAATGATACTTGAATTGAGATTTTGCAGATGTGAGTCAAACAATGCAGAGAAAGTTTGATAGACAGATTTATCTGTAGTTTTGATATTTCATCATTTGGATTATTACAGGATTTTAGCAGACAAAGTACTATATTAGGTTGCATTAACATGCAACAACATCCAGTATCTAGCCAATCAGCACTGGCAGACAAGTGAAGATTCTAGAAGCACGTGAATAGTTATAGATATACTGTTTTTACAGTAACTCCCATCCAACTTGATTTATGTGGAATATAGTTACGTACCCGTCCAATTCGTGTTCATGTTTCGGACACTAGTTGAGTGAAGTGGTATTTGAGAAATACTAAGCAATAAGGGTACCTAAGCCTTACGTTGTGACTGAATGAGTTGGATAACAGGACTTAACATGTCTTCAATCTCAATGTATATAAAAGCTGTAAACTTTACCAAGCGAAAATGTCAAGCAAGTTTTTAAGTTGTTTATGTAACAAGAGCGAATTAAAACACTAGATCTTTATGGGTTTTAAAATAACCTTTACTAAAACGATGGTGAACTATAAATCATGGATGAAACAAAAGTGTGGATATCTATGTATTAATTTGACTAACCTGGAAGTAGTACATAAAAACACTAGATTCTGATACATGACCCAGATTTTCTTTTCGTCGTTTGTAGACTACAAGATAAAATATCAAAAACATCAGTCACAATGTATGCAACAGCATAGTGCTCGAATCTGTCTTACGATTTTAGATACAGAAATGCTTTTGACAAAAAGAATAACGATGATTGAGATTAACAAGGAAAACATATCAAGAAACGTACGATGCCCAAAGATTAGGCTTAGCAGTTAGATTTTAAATTATTAGAGAATGAGTGACCTACCAGTTAATTTCTTCCAATAGCCTATGGCATTTTACCATGTTTATTTTGTGTTCATATTTTGCAAATAATTGTTATTTTATTATATGAAACTATTCGTCTGACTAGTGGTCTTGTCTTTGAGTTCTAACCATTCGAGGGCTTAAGCCAACTATACGGTGTCACGAGAAGCCATCACTCGGTCACACTATATCATTACGTTCATCTATCGATTGGTATTCTGTTCATCGATTCTAATGGTGGAAATTTCATCCAACTAAATCACAGAAAACCCCCTCCATAATAAAAATCCTACAAATACCATGTATTCTATCGCAAATATTTTAACTTTAACCCCTAGAGACAACTTGTCAGGCCAAACCCATGAATAGTAGAGGTATTAACAGTATCAGTGGTAATCGGAAAGATTAAGCATTGAAGATACGATTCGAGAAAACTTAAATTAGTGAAGTAAAAACAGAAAAAGTTATGAGAAACTTAGAATTTCAGAACTAATCGGAAGAAAAAGAACGAATTCACCTGTGTCATTGCAAACGATAATGTCTTCGAAGACATTGTTAGTGTTTGGCACGGTAGGACCTAAAGGAGTATATGTTTTAGACAATAGGTTGGGTTTTGGATATTGGTTACCAAATGTTAATGTAATAACTAAACGTTAAGAAAATATTCAACAAGTAAAAACCTGCCTGGTTCTTCATTTACGTTTGTTGGCTTGAATATTTGGAAGGATTGTACGCGAAATGCATCATCAGTGTAACACTTCTTATGAATTTCACTCAAGACTGAAACGAAGAGAAAACACCAAATTGAGTAGATTTTAAAAAGTATGCAAAGAACTGGCTAAGATGCAGCTAGATGATTAATGGAAAAGAGAGCTTATGATCATAAAAGAGGGCTATTCGATTAAAGAGCATCGAAAAACTTACCGATATCGGTTGTTTTACAATCAGTAAACGGACGAGTCAATTGCATCAGATGTTCCTAAGGGCATAAAAAAACCTTAAAATGCAAATAATGTGCATGAAGTAAAGGGATATTAATATACCTGAAAACTTGTAAATTATCATCTAAAATGACCTAATAATGGTTTAGATTTGTAAATTTGTAAGGACTACTTAAGCATAAATATAAAAAGAAATTACTAATCATCAAAAATGCGATAAAGATCTAAACTTGGTAGACAGGTAATCAGACACAAATAGTATATTTTTGACACAGAACTATAACAGATGTACGAACTTAGATCTATTTCAAGACCTAGGATGTTAGGATCAAATGTTAGGTGCATGCATAACTATTATTCATAATACTAAAGGCGATCCATCGAACACAAAGGTCTAGAGCTAATTGTAATGTTTGGCTTGAGTAAGCAGATAAACTATCCCTCTTTAGGAAGTAAACAGAAAACTTAGTATTATCAACGACGACAAAAATTTGGAATTTGATTGATTCACGAAAGAAACAATGAGAGGGAAGAAGTCCCTTTCAATTACTAAGAACAGACTTTTGTGCTAGGCTTTGGGTTATAACTGTTTCAGACAATGCCTAGACATTTGAAAACGGAAGTGAGTTGGTCCATCCACTAATGGTCCGATAGATGAGTGTAAAATATTCAAAATACTTAGTCTCAATTGCATAATACAAACGCCTAGGAATATCAACAAATAACATAACCCCTGAACAAGAATCATCCTTTATACGAAAATCGTCTTTATATTTACTTTGAGGCTAAACTTACGTTCCACATAAGCGAAGTAACTGTTCCAGTCGTTATGAATAAGTACCGAAACTATAACTAGCATATACTAGGTTAACACCTGGTATAAAGTAACAGTACACTAGATTAGTACTTGGAGTTACCTGGATTTGAATATTTTACATTCATCAGGAGCGCCTATAAGCTATAACCATGGTGTTGAATTAAAAACGAAATATCATTAATTACACTTCCAATCAGTAATATCAAATACTAGGTGGCTATCATAGCATAAAAGTATACTCGTGACAAAAGTTTAACCAACAGTATTTACAAGATCGCGAAATGAAAACTAACGTTAACCTACAACCAGACTTAGACGACCTACCTGATTCTAAATATTAGCCGTATTTCGGTTGTGACCCTTTTAATTTCGGTAGCGCAAGTTATCTTAGCGTTGCTATTTTCTAACTTAAATCAAGACATGGTATCGGCAAAACTCTCCCAAGAGCCTCTAATTAGGTAAATTTGAACAGTACACCAGGTGACATATATATGACCACTTTACTAGTAATTATAACCAATGAATTGCATCAACACCGTCAGATTGCTTTTTCAAATTTAGAAGGACAACCTCCAAAATATTTCTGAGATTGCCTTTGGTTTGATCAAAACGTTTTATCCAGAATAATAATGTCTTAAACAAGACTAATCTCCTCTTACATAGTTACAATAATCTAGTCCCTTTTACTTAATAGAAACAAGAGTGAGTTTTTAACGTTTTCCTATATTCTGTGATCGATTACTTTTCATGCTACGGATTCGCTTCTAAAACAACTTTTAGTCAAGGAGACATAGGACAGAACCATTTGCAGGCAGGATTAATATTAGCTTCTTTATCAGACCTATCTAAGCGTCTATGCAAAGTGAAGACTCATTTAGGTTAGTTAGCCCAACAACTTTTGTAGTAAGAGGTGATTTTCCAAATTTACACGTCTAATTAGTTTCTAAACAGATATCTTTAAAAACAAAATTTAAAGTGGACACACCATATATGTAAAAATTAAGGTGAGGACAAGAACAAGAAACTTTTAGGAAGCATTATAAGGAAGAGCTGCAAATGGATATAACTGCTTTGGTGAATATGGATATCAGACAGTGTGGAACGCTAGTAGCAAAAAGTTAATCCCTTCTTGAAACAAGAACAAGAAAAGTTACAATGACTAACAAATATTCATGCTCCCTAGTTATGAAATAGAGCTTTGCTGATTACCATATCTGAATCAACTAACAGTGAAGACAGTGTAGAGAATATTTAACACTGTACAGAATGATATTTGAGCGACGAAAAACGACCGCTGTCTGCAAAAGATATTCTGATACTACTTTTATTTGGACTTAAATTTTCAATACCTGCTGCCTGATAAATATTTCCTAATAACATTGAAAGTACATATTTTGCTGATACAATATAATATTTTTAATGGTGGATAACTTACTAGCTCTGAGGGTCCATGTATAGTTAACTTCTTAACTCCTGCGGCCTTTGCAGTCAATGCCACACCTCAAAATATGTACAACTAGCATTTGTACTAACCTAGTAATCCAGAAGTGCAATCCCAAGACATACGCGTAAGAAAGACATGTTGTATGCGCGAAGTTTTCATCCTAATGATTAGGTGAACTAAGGGCATCATTACCGATATTCTGCCAAGACTCTTTGCGTTGACTCACCACAGTTGACCAAATAACGACATGCTCCTGTGTCAATGAGCATCGATTTTGAGGAACCAGCACGTCCATTGCCAACAACGGTTAATGATATGGAGTGTGGTGGTGGCATCATCCTATCTCCAGGGCGCTTATGTTTTAGGAACCGCTTAGGTGTTGTTACTAAACGTACGTAACACAAGGAGGGACGCAGCATTCACTGTCACTGCAAGCCTCAATAAAGTTACCTGTAGCCTTGGATACGTGTTAGGAAAAGAGATGTTTGTAGCTAGAACAAAAGTATCAGGTGAACCTCAATAGATTTACAAACACGTTTTGGATTTAGTGATTTAAGTGCAGTGTCACCAACTAGTTAGAACGGTACGTCCATACACATGTCCGGCAAGTCACGTTAAAAACGTAGCGCACCTTTCGATAATATTCCCAAACTTCCTCAATGCCATCAACCTAATGTCCAATATTCACAAGCTTGTACAGTCTTCAGTAATAAGAATAGGAGGTCTATCGACCTATATTAATCCTTGCAGTTTATAATACCGTGGATGTCCAATCTTGTTTTGAATGTATCAACAGAAGGTGCTGATATTACGTATCCCGGTAGAGAATTCCAGTAATTCACTACTCGGTGCAAGAAACGAAACTCCAGACGTAAACGATCTGAGCCCGGTTTTTGAACTTTTTTCCAACGTCCTCTCAACTGATCAGTCCTAGACAGAAGTAAAAGATAGGATATGTTAATACCAAGGTCATCGTTCAGTATACGATAAGCCAATATTAGATCACCCAGTATTCTACACTAGGATAACGGAAATAAGTTAAGGTGTCTCAGTCTGTATTCATAAAATAGGCCAGACAGACCTTTTACCATCTTAGTACCTTGTCGTTGGACTCTTTTCAGCATATCTGCTTCATACTTTCAACAAGGACTCGCTGCTTTAATCCCATATTCTAAATGTGGTCACGCGTAAATCGGGTATAATAATCTAAACATTTCATGATCTAAATACTGGAGAGACCTACGAATAGACCATAATATCTTATAGCCTTTCGCAGCAGCAGCCTTACAGTGACTAGTGGTTTTGAGATTATTACTTAATATGACTCTCAAATCTTTATAGTTTCTTACTTTGGGTAGTACGAACCCACATATTGTATAGTGATACGATTCATCATTTTTAATTAATTGCATCGCCAAACTCTTATTAGAATTTACTTCAAGTGAACACCTGTCTAACCATGCCACCAATGAACTTAGATCATTCTGTAATACTATCCTATTCGACATACTGTGTATGGGTCTCCAAATTTTTATGTCATCAGCGAAGAGTAGAACGGATGATTTTACTACGGTTGGTAATTCATTTACATAAAGTAAAAAGAGAAGAGGACCGAGGATTGAACCTTGGGGAACCTTATTTTTACGGGCATCCACGAGGAGAGAGCCTTATTAACCTTTACCCTTTGTCTCCTGTCATGGAGAAAGTTATTTATCCAATCTACGACTGTATACAGGATTCCAAAACGTTCTAGTTTGAATTTAAGATCAGAATGCGAGACCATATCGAAGGCCTTATTTAGGTCTATGAAGATCACATCTATAGGAATATTCCGATCTTTTGCAGAAGCCCAATCTTCTCTTGCAATGAGATTTGTCAAGCATGATAGGCCTCTCCGAAAACCATGTTGTTCCCTGGAGAAAAGATTATGCCCTTCAACATAGTTTATAACAGATATCCGAATGATCTTTCCCATCAGTTTTACAACTGCACTAGTTAAGCTAACGGGTCTATAGTTACTAACTAAATCCCTACTCCCAGCCTTATACACCGGACTTATTATAGAGTGTTTACAGTCTCTGGGCAGTCTGAACTTCCTCAAAGACATGTCGAACAGTATCGCTAATGGTTCAGCAATTATGCCTGATATGGCTTTCATAATCCTAGGATGAATATTATCAGGACCACTGGACTTATCAGGTTTGAGATGCTGAAGTAGCCTTAAAACAGTACCTTTCTCAATGACCGCAGAATCCATCAGCGAGCCGCCACGATCATAATGAATCGTTGGTCGTTCCTCATTAGTGATAGACAACACTTTACTGAAATATTCCAATAAAGCTTCAGCTTTTTCGGTATCATTTTCTGCCAAGATTAACGGATTTTCTTGTATCAAAATTGATGGGATTCCATTGATTCTCTGAGTTCGCCTTTTTATATACGAGAATAACCGTTTCGGACTATATCTAAAATCCCTAACCAATTGTTTTTCATATGATCGTCCAGTCTTACTTATTAACGCTTTACAGGCATTCCTAGTCTTACAATAACTGGATCTGTATTGTTCTAAGTCAGTAGAGATGAACATATTCCAGTGCTTCTTCCTTCTTCTAAGAACTTTCTTGACTGGTTTAGTTATCCATGGTGGACTGTTATCCGGTCTTCGCGGTACCAGATGTGATATGAACGAGGAAGTAACTGAAATAAACTTATCTTTAAATGCAGACCATGCTTCTTCAACTGATAAGTTGGTATCTACAAACCAATCTGTCTTAGCAGCACATTCTTGAATGGATAATATGTTAGCTTTCCATACATTTGGGCGGGGTGTGACCTGATCGTATAACATGTCCCTAGTTCTAAACGAGAATGATAAAACAGCGTGATCGCTGTTCACTAACTGTGAAAGAATATTTAGGTCGACAATGTCCTTAGTCTCGTGAGCGATTACCAAGTCCAACAGAGAAGAGCCTTGATTAGCACCAAAACGTGTAGGTTTGGATACATGCTGCACTAATGCATGCTCCATTATTGTTATCAGGAACCTACTGTCAAAGGAGTTTATAGATCCTTCCGCGGTCATCTCAGTCCAACTAATGTCAGGTGCATTAAAGTCTATTACCACGCATCTGGTATTTGCACTCCAAAGATGAATGTGCTCTAAAATAAAGTCATCAGTTAAGCAGATTGGGCTGCGATGACACCGAGCATAAATGTACTACATCCAATAGCCAATTTACAGCTAATGACTTCACAAGTACCGCTGTCGTGGGATTCGCTAGTAGAGGAGCGGATATTTATGTTATTGGCCATATGTAACAGGACGCCACCTCCTTTTGTATATCTATGTCTATCACTCCTTAGGTAATGGTATCTGGATAATTTTGGAGTAATGTCAAAGTCATGGATTAACCGAGTTTCTGTCACTGCTACGGTGAGTGGCCTTAATCTCTCCACTAATGCTCCTAGCTCATAGAACTTATTTCTTAGGTTACGAGCGTTGGCATATAAAACTCCTAGGCCTTGGTAGCATTCGCTTCCAAGACCTGACTATCCGAAGACCCACTAACTGCAGACTTTCCTCACCGTTTTGTTGGCGGATTTCTAGTTCAGTTAGTGCTTTCTTTCTTTTTATTCTATCTTCGAGAGACATATCAGGTCTAACTCGAATATCGGAATTGTCATGACAACGAGCATTACTTAACAGGAGATCCCGTTGCTTTTCTGATCCTAGGATTACCTTAGGTAGTCTGCATGGTCGAAGTTCAACATTGTCCTCGACCCTCTTGCCTATTCTAACCAGTTTTTTGACCTGAAGTCCTCTAGAGTTATCTGGTAAGATACTACGGATATATTCTCCCAGATTCTCTAAATCATGCTCGTGTCTAATTTGGGGATCAGGGTCGTTAGACTCCAGCAATTTACTTACAATAATATTCGATGATATCAGATTCTTCATTTCAGTCACACTAGGGTGGGTTTCCCTCTTACTATCGGATTTTGGTAGTGCATTTCGTGACTCACAATGGGAGTCCAACAATGACTTGCTAACCACTTGCGTACTGCCCACAGCCTTTTTCTTTTTGCTTCATTCTTTCCGTACTTTAGTTCATTTTTCATCCATCAGGACACGGAACTATTTTGAACAGTGATGGTCTTCAGTTTACACTAGTGTTGCATGGTTACCAATGTCAGTTTCAGATGGTACTTCTTCCCTCGTTAATGTTAACGGAGATTTCACTTTTCTGTCAATCAAAGTCATGTGTTTGAGGCGTCTCGTAACAGCAGGTATTACACTGACACATTCGTCACTGTCAGTGCTCGTGTTATCAGCGCATGCGCCATCGTTTTTCCTACAGGTCAAAGCCAATAGGCTCATAGCCTCCTGTATTAGTAACGTCTTATTCGCACAGCAAAACATGCAAAGCAAATGTGATTTAGGCTTCGAACATCTTTTATATGCAGTGGGATTTAAACGGGTGCACATCTTATGGAACCACCTTTTGCATTCATCACACTGCATTCCTTCCTCCGCAGGGAACAGTGTGGTTGTCCACATTTGTGAGTACTACCAACCATTTGAGTCAGATTAGGATGTAAAACACGATATGATCACAGTATGAACACGAGTGTCAGTAATGAGTAAAAGGTTACCACAAGACAAACCTTAGCAAGATTTATAACCTTAACTAAAGTACTTTATATAGACCAAGAATGCTTTTGATGCAACAATTACACAAAAGCAAGGATAATCACAAGAAGTACAAAATCACTGCCCCTTTTGATTTACTTGCTCTTGTTTCTTGTATTCTCAGTACGGTTCTGGGTATTCGGTAATGTTCATTGGGTAGTTGTCTGGCCACTCAAATGTACTAATGTAGTCAGTTTGATAGTTATTTATGGATTTATATATCTTTCAGTTTGTGTGTTTGCTTCAGGGAAGCAAAACTTTTGAATACCGGCAGCTTTTGCGTCACCAATAAGCAGGTTGGTTGGTAGCAATTTGAGAAACAATAGACAGAAAATTCGAATGCTAAGAGAAGGCGATTGTTTCGATAAACAAATAATTAGGTTAATGCAGATAGTATGAAGAGAGTAAAATGTAAGAATAAGGGGGAATCGGGGATGATAATAAGAGGTACAGGAATAATTGAATGTTATGTGGTGATGATAGCAGTAGTTAAATTATAAAAAATGTATCAGACACAGCTGACCCATGCAAGAGATGTCAATCCGTTCATCTAGTGTCTTCTTGAGGCTGTCCACTGAGAGTGCTGTGGTTAATTTGGCTTGGAAAGCATTGCGAGTAGAACAGCTCTTAGTGAGAAAAAGCATGGGAGTACCTTGGTTCTGTTCTTTGGTGTGTGATCTTCTAGATGTCTCTGAGGAACGTGATGAGGCCGTATTTTTTCAAAGTGTCTTATACAGTTCTAAGGTGATTGAGCCAAGTTGTATTCGCACAAAAGTCCAGAGTTACACCTACTTTGTTTAGATCCTCCATATAGTTTGAGCTGGTATCCAAGGTCTTAATGATGACTGGTCCTATATCTCGCTCTGATGAGACAGTCTATGGCTTCCATGGAGGTCTTACGCTGTTTGTATCGAATGGGGTAGAATGTTTATGACATAACAT